GCTAGAAGGACCACACCCCATAAGAGTGCTCGTTCGTTTTAACGAACGGGTTGCACCAACGATATGCCAGACTATTTCGTAGCACTCTCCCCGACTCATGAGGAGGCTGAACCTCGACAGTCTGGATGAGCAAAATCGAATGAATCTACTGCGCTATCGCGGTTTTGTTCGGACATGGGTTTTGGGACCTTGTACTTGTGTTACGAGGGACTCTCTGCACCTGTTTTGGGTGGTTTCCAGTAGCGACGAACGGTCGCGACTGTTGGCTACACACACAGAGAGAGAGAGAGAGAGAGAGAGAGAGAGAGAGAGAGAGAGAGAGAGAGAGAGAGAGAGAGAGAGAGAGAGAGAGAGAGAGAGATGATGTGAGGTTGGCAGAGTGAGAAGAAGAGAACTCAAGGGGGAAACTTGGCACGGAAGAGCTTCTTCAGCTACTATGCCTGCCGTGCCTATTTCTCCGCTGTACTCTCCTTCTAAGGAGGAGGAGGAATTGGTGGAAGACAGGGATGGGGAGTGGAGGGGTTAAATGAAAGAGTTGCAAGGAGGAGAGAAAGGTGGTGAGGATTGACAAGTAGGAGCTGGATCACAAGGAAGGGAGGGGGCGAACAATGAGCGAGGCCCTGCGAGGGAATGGAAGACTCCGGGAAGAGGACTCTGGAGGAGTGGGACAGACGGAAGAGGTAGGATGGGGAGGATGATGACAGGTCATCTTGCGGGTGTTGCCAGTCATAAGCAACTCAGCTGCAACTGGACTGATGACCCCCTAGAGTAGATGGTGGGGGGAAACAAAAAGTAAACTTTAAGATCGTAGCAATGTGCAGCGAAGAGGGCAACTCCAAGGGGGGAGGAAAATGAAGATGGGGTAAAGGGTGGCGAAAACTCAGAAAAGGAGTAGGGCGGGTGGGTGACAATTAGAGAGGTAACAAGGAGGTGGATAAGAAAGACGATTTTTTCTTATATATATATATATATATTTTAAGGGGACAAAGCTCCAATCTATTCGTGGGGAAGAGGATCTTGACATTGAGGAGAAGGACTTTTTTCCTTTTTTTTTTTTTTTTTTTTTTTTTCTTTCGGGAGGAGAGGGCGGAAATGACTGCACTGCAGTTACTGTACCTGGCATCACAACTGTGGTGACATTTCCAAGACCTGTTACGTGGCTGTATTTCTCGGCGAAAAATGGCTCCGTCACATTCCGGAGGAACCGTGCGAGGTAATTGAAATAGGAATACATGCCCAACAAAGGATCACCTATTCCAAGAAGTGTTGCTGTGCCATTAACAGCTGCCGCCAACCTCGTATAGTTCGCAAACTCGTTGATGTTGGTCACATCCACCCCGTAGACGAAAACTGCGAGGTTCCTTTGAGTCTCGTTATTGTATGCATTGATTGCAGCTGCTGCAGTTTCAACATTTACTTTGCCGCGAGTGAAGACCAACAATACCTGTAGAATGATCAAGTAAACAAGAGCAGAAATAGACATTATTAAAAATCGAAGGACACCGAAATAGTGACCATTACAATTATAACATGAATGCAATGTTTATGTTTTGAACCCATAAACTTGTGTGACTTGCATAATTGTAGTTATCAATTCCTCTTTGAAAGTGTGAAGAGAAGGAGAGGACATGGAAGAGAGGAGCTGAGAGACAAGAAGACTGTAACATAATGAGCAACAGCGCTGCAACACACACCTCCGGTTCATCTGGTGCACTGGATGCTCTCCACATGTCTCGTAGTTTTGAGACCGCTCGTTGAATACCCTCTGTGAGGTCTTCCTTGGGGTTCAGTGGCGTCATCTTCTCCATTGATGTTGTAACATTTATACAACGCGATGGATCAGTGATCATCCGCACCAGTTCCTGCCAGTGAAAGAAACCACACACACACACACACACACGTGTCACGATACCCACACATGAATCAATTCCTACACCATCAAACCCTAAACCCTAAACTTTTAAACACTATAGCTATTGCTTACTGGAAAGCCATAAAGAACAGAACTGGCTGTGAAAACCTGATGACCTCTTCAAGGTACTCTCCTTGGAGCATACCCCAGAGACCGAACCTGATATCCACAAGTTCATCTCCCAGGAACATACCCCAGAGACCAAATCTGATATCCTTATATATATAACAATGATAACAGAAGATCAATCCGTTGATGGCCTTGATTGGACATCCACACTACATGCAAACAGAAGCCATCAATCAATACCAGAAGCCCGCAGGCATTCATCCATCACAAAGGCATGCATTTCCCATCAAACAAGAAGACCCGTTGTCGATCATAAGTTATGATGGAAATTCAATTGGTTTTGCGATTCACCTTGAATTAAATGTTATGATTCAAGGTGAATCGCAAAACCAATTGAATTTCCATCAAGACACTTACTAGTAAGCAGAAGGACATCTGCTCGTCATTCCGGAAGCAACGGACACGTGCAACTTGTGCGGGAAGGCGGTGAGGGGTTCCCGAGATCGTGAGGCAACCTGGAAAGGTCCTACGGGTCCTACCTCTCCCACGTCCAGATCGGCAGCCGGAAATGTTGTGAAGGCAAGTCTGTCGGACACCTGGAAAGTCTTTAGCAGCCTGTACAGTGTTCTCCGTAGAACGTCGAGTCTTGGTGTCCTGTCAAAGGGCCCAAACTCATTGTGCTCTATGTTCATATCGTTCGTCAAGTCGACGAGTATGGATACTCTTTTCCGTGGTGAACTGGCCTCTGCAAACCTGGAAAAGCACACAGGTGAAGCGCACATCAGGCGGAAAGAAGTGGACAGCCACCAGGTAACCCTGCAGTGAAAAGAGCATCAACTCTGGTCCTTCCTCCCTCTCCCCCCTCCTCGAGCACCTAGCCGTATCCCCAGCGGCCGCGGTAGCCGAGGTCACGACCGCGACCCTTGGTCAAGGCCGCGAGCCCGCGGTCGAAAACGGCCTCACGCGGCCGAGGAGAGGGGGTCCTGCCAATCGAGGTCGGGATTTCGGGACCGGGACCCCGGCTGCAACCCCTTTTAGTGAAAAAAGAAAAGAAAAAACAAACAAACGGCGGGGAGGTCGAAATTGGGGGGGTTTAGAGGGGGGAGTACACAAATCAT